CATCTATATTTAATTATTATTGCATTTATACATAGGCAAACTAGTTATTACTATATCCGACCTAATTCATATTATTCTACATATTATGTAATTTCTAATTTTTTTCCATTATTCTCTCTCTCATCCCATGTTGACCATATTTAATCTGATCATTAATTATCTCACAATTTCATTTCACTTATAAACTGATTCAAGTCAACAACTTCATATCAGTCAGCCCCAACATCAACGATTTGATTTGATTTGATGTAACAAACAACAATCCTCGATTCACATGTTATGATTTTAGATGGTGTACTTTGCTTTAAATCTGGCCAATTTTATGGTTTATTAATTTGGATATGAAATAATTGTAGAACCTAATGAGAAATTCATTGAAAGGAATATTCTTCGTTCATATTTTAATTTGTTTTAATTGAGACGAAAGATTTTTCTATACTCATCATATATTTTATTGACTATTCCAATGCCATAACTTTACCAACTTCAAATCAATCACAGAATAGAATTTTTCACTAAACACTTTTTTGATGATTGATTTCGACATTCATTTCGTTTGGATTACCACTAGTACAAAAATCATTGGTGAATATTTAATATTTATCGAAAGAATTCCCCAGATATTGAGATTTTATTTTGTTTAACGGTGTTAGCATTTGTTTGTTTCATAAAAGATTTTGTAATATGGAGAGCCAATCAGCAGTAGCCTAATGAGAAAGTCAATTGGTGGCAATCATAAGTCACCTAAAGGACAAGTGCATTTCACTGGCTAAGAAATGGGTCAATTTCCTAAGGATTACAGGGGTATATGTGAATGCTTATTAGGAAATTTTATTCGGTAGTCCAATACACCTCACTCACTCTTGTGCTGTCGTTCATGTAGTTAGCTGGGGGGGGTTACCATGTAGCACACGTGTATCATTACTGCGTTTCAGACATTACCCATCACAACATTTTGTAAATTAGTGGTTTTCTGAAAAATTCTATGAAAGATACAAAGAAGCATTCCATTTCTGTGTAAGTAGGATTTTCATAATGGTTGCTTAATAATAAAACACCATGCAGACAACGGAGTAATGGTGTTTAATCAGACATATTCAGCAGATATAAAGTAAACATTTTTCGAAAATACACATCTATCCTTAATAATCAGTTTTATTGAATTAAAAGGAACTGGAAACGTGAAAACTAACCACTAAAGTAAGCCAAAACCACTTATGATGTTAAATTTGACAAACTTATTTACATTTCTCGGCAGATTCTCTTTCGATTGTAAACTTTCAAACATAACATATTCACAAAAAAACATAAGTCAGTAAAAGAATTTGTATGAAGATAAAAGATTTAACTGTATGGTTTTAGAGTAAAGTAGCTCCATAGAATTGGAATGAATAATCACACATCTCACACATATCCAATTATTTCAGTGAAACCTTCTGAATTAAGAAGGATCACACATAGTAACGAGTTGTATATGAAGACGACTTTAAATATACTAAAGTTTTATTTATAAAAGCAAACAATTGGCATAAAACTCAATCTTCAGACTATAACTCATATGAATTAATTTTCAGGATTGTATTTTACTGAAATACTAGCATAATTTAACTCTATAGAATCTTCTTTTTACTAAAACAGTGTAATTTATTTCAAAAATTCCACTAGATCTATTAGCCAACTTAAATTAAGTTTTATAAGAAAAATCTACCAGCTGTAAATTGATTACATTGTATGCTCTAGTTGGTTGAAACATTTGCATACTTTTCAAATGGTATCTTATGTTAAAACTGGTTTATATTATAATATTTCTCCTCAAATACATATTTCATGATAACCTTTCTTTCACCACAACAGTTTACAGGATGTTGTAAATAGAGAATTAGTCTCAAAAAACAGTGAAAGAAATCTAATTTCATTAGTATGCAGTAGCAGAAAATGTTCCATCCTTAAGATATCTTATATGAATGGCTAGGCTCTTAAAAACATAGATATCAGTGTATTTGCTATAATATTCTGTAACTTTTTTATTTATGGTTTAAATACAAATTATGTTTTTAGTCGTTGTCTTTATAATCGATGACCGAGGAGAGATGAATTAAGTAAGGACGACAATACGAGTATCACTAAATTATATTCCAGTAATTCGACTCACTAGCATATGTAAAAGTAAAAAATAATTAAACTATGATTGTACTGCATGGACAAAAGTGAACTAGAATAATAGTAGTATTGGATTAAAACCGGAATAATACCCGTTTATAATTGCATTACATTTATATTGACGTTGAAAATCGAGTAACTAGCAATTGTAGTGGAATAAATTTAGGACTGCTTTAGATTTGTCTAATCATCATTGCACTGAAATAAGGAAATGAAATAGATAGATAGGTGAATGGATAACTGAATAATAGAATATTAAAGTGATTCATTTATAAGGCATTTGAAATATTCACACATTTGAGCGCAACTTCGCTGAAATAATCAGTGTATTTGACAGTCACATGCTCGGTTGGATATCTCACTCCAAAATGTTTCACGATACTTTTCACTTAATATATTCCCTGCACCAAATACCATACTATTTCAATTTAACAACTGAAATTTTAGATTTATCTATTGAACATGTATCTACCATCATTGGAATGCAAAACAACAAATGACTAACTTCTTCATGAAAAGTTCTAAACAACTTACAAATAACTGTACGGTCCTAACTGATATATATAAGTTTACTTTTAAATGCATCTAAATTCACTCACTCAAATATATGTAATTAATCTAGTGAGCAACAAAATGCACCTGATTTATTTCAGATACAAACATTCTAAACTTGCTTCATTTGGCCCTTAACTTATGGTTCACCTCTTAAAGCGTTTTTGGTTGATTAGATAAATTAATTTTGGTGGCTCCTATGCTTAAAACATACGGTTTAATAATCATAAACATGAATAGCGTGGAATTTATTATACATTCACGTATAAGGCAGACTTTCAAGTTTATTGACAAAAGCCCAACATATAATTGCCATTTAATTCTTCGCTGTATGACTTTAGTTCAAATATAACTTTAGAAAATATTACCAAAGGATATTATTTACTGATTTTATTAATAACTTTAAAGTAAAAAACCGTTTCGGTTCCTGATTTGAGATAAATTTCATCGTTGCTAGTGAGAATGAGATTAACTTAGACATCGTTAAATACGTAGTTTAATCTAACAGTTTCAAAAACATGGAGAAGTATGTTGTATAAAATTACCTTTTTTACACTTTTTCACTTTTACTTTGAATAAGAAATATAAACCTTTGTAGAAGTCCATACCTCTGTAACACCAACATGTTTAAACATTTGATACCCTGTTATATAGGTTTCAAAAAAAAGTAACCACACTTTTTCAAAACGACTTAATATTCAAACTTTTGTCATTTTTAATCATTCTAAATTCGTCTTTAATCAGTTAATTAACTATATACTGATATTACTGCTTCTAATCTCAGTAGCTACACTGCTCCCAAGTGAATTAAGCTTCATTCACGACTCTGTAAGCTAGGAACAAATATATTAGATTAAGTAGTAAACACATTTTGGTGCTAAGTGGTAAATTTCTATTTAGTTACTTGCTGTATGGTGTAATTACAGTGCTGTACCTTATCAACTTGAAAGCATTTACTCTATCCAATAGTAAACGGCTATTACCGCTAGAATTACTAAATAACGATAGTTATTTAAGTTACTCACTCTGATACGATAATACACACTGTTTAAGCTAGCATTAGAAAAGCATTAACACTCACTAGCTTAATCAAAGAAATCAGTACCTAGTGAGAAGTCAGGCTATAATATAATTATGATGAAATACCCTTACATCTTACCTTTCCTATTGTACCATAAAGTTATAAATGATCTTACATCAGCACTCTAAAAAATTACTAAAACTTTCTACGCATACATATCTTTAAACTGTGCTACTTTTGAGAGCCGTGATCTCCAAAGTTGCCATGAATATGACCGAACAAACACAATGAGGTCTCACTTACCCTGCCAATTTTTCTATCGTCGAAACTTCAAAGGAAAAATGTGATACTATTCTTATCAAACGCCCTTAAAGAAAGGGATCTTTACGGAAATGCAAACTGAAATAATTATCAATGGACTGGCCAACTTGCTGTCTTCATTTTAAAGTTTACGATGAACTTACGCTTTTTCTTTCTGCACGTTATTGCCAGCCTAGGTACCATGCCTCTACTAATCTTATAAAAGCTTTATCCACCCTCCCCCATTGCTCTAGTGATAAAATACATATATGCTAGACATTTAAGTATCAACGGATAAACTCTAAGGTTGATGTCAAAGATATTAATATTCCCTCTATTTTTAGGAGCGCTGACCATCATATCCAAGTCATAGTATTTTATGTAATTTATTCGTCAGTCTTAATTATAGGATCTCGTCTTATCATATTTGCCTAAAGGATATAAAAAAACATTCTTATCAAAGGGGGCCGCATAAGTCATTCATAAGATAAGTTGGTCTAGATACAGTTTTGGTTACGAAGGTATAGTAAGTTTAGTCACTCGCGAATTCTCAACTAATGTTATCTATTTTTACCATAATGATAAATATATTCAACTTATGTGGGTCCCATACACTTAACAGGATTGGATTGAATTTATTAAAATTTCCTCTTGTGGCGTCTGAGCTCACCATGACTTTACCATACTTTACATGCCACACTAATGATTATACAAAAGAGACGTGTCTTTTTCTATAAATCATGTTGCCGTACATATTTTCAGGTTGTCCTCGGCAGTAGGTCAATACAATCTTGCGAAAGGTTTTTAGTTCTTTTTTAAAGCCTAATTTAACATAGATAACTTAATTAAAATACGATCACATAATATTAATGTTTTATAAGTATTTATTAAGCATAAATATTTCTTAAAATAAGATCAAAATATTGTTCTGGTTCCTGGAATTGGAGTGGCCTCTTGCTCAAAAACCCTAAGGTTCAACGTGAACCAATGATCCTGTATGGGCATGCCACAGCTGAATACCTTTAACTCTAGTTAGACGCGTATCTGGATCCTTTCTTCCACCACCAACTTCATATTCTTTTTTGTGCTTTTTTAATGGTGATGCAGCATGGTATGTTATCTTTCTAGGTAGTGATGGTCTCAGTTTTGATGATCGAAAATTCGTGTGGTGATTAAGTGAGTGCGAAGACGTCACCATTTCATTACAAGCAGCCTTGTTTTGAAGAATATCGACGTCACCGACTTGCCCTTCTCGATAGAAAAAGCCATACTGCTGATTTGTGGTTTGTGGTTTTTCTTTGGTAAAGTAGTTATAAGTTGGTGGACCCAAGTGGTTATCCATTCGAAATTACTACGGATACCGTTGTTGTGGTACCTAGCCTTCAATATCCAATACCTGATATCTTGTATAATTTGATTGACTGTCTTGGGCTCGTTTCTTGTTTTTTCAATACGTCATCAGGCCTATGAAGATGTTCAATAAGCGGACTTTACTAGTTCTAATCAGTTTGTTTGAGAGTTTGTGTATCTTGTAATCTTAGTGTATCCGACTGTTCCGGGTAATAGATTTTCTAGAAAACATCAGCTTTCACATGTTCATGCAAAATGTCGGTCGGTTGCAATATGAGAACTGTAGAGAAATAATTTGACTGCATTAGAGTTAAGAAATTGTGGTTTTTTGAAGAAGTAAATTAACTAATTATTAATCTAAACTGTGCAGACGGACCGGTGAAGGAAGAATGGAAATACAAGGTAAAAAGAAGCGAGGTAGAAATAAACTGAAGGCATGTGATACTGATAGTAGTAGATGAGTAACGGGACACGCGTCGGGAACAGCTAGTCCTAGCAGATATTTATCCGTGGTTGAGTATTTGTTAATTCTGCTCCTGAAGATATCAACTGGGAAGACGACATTAGTTACAAGTTACTTCTTAGTGTTTCGGTGGATTTCTAAGAACGTTAGAAATAAGCAATTACGTTAATTTATTCACCAGAACTTAGTTTTTTTTGCGGTCAAAACTCCTGTTAAAACCCTTTAAACTGCAAGTCACTGAACTAAAACGTGGAGTGACAGCATCACCAACAAGATAATTTTATGATGAGTGGTGACGAGGATTTAATTTTTTATGCAACTTTACAGCTTTTGAAGTTTTGTAGGTGATTATGTTGAACTGAATCTATTCTAGTAATCTAACTTATCTATATGTGACATGAAACACGACTTCATCGTCAATGTAATATTCAGAATAACGACGAAATTGACGGACGACATAGAGTCTCAGATGAAAATGATTGTGCTTTTACAATCAAACATCACGTAAAACACACATTACTAACAAACATTCTTATGGTATGAAGAGGATGATTGATAATCGACTTTTAATCGTATATAAGTAATTCCATGCTTGTCACTCAATTAATTGCATTTTAAATTCATTCAAGCCCGAAGATGCATAATTCATCCAGAATATGTGTTCTTCAGCAAGCAAAATGGTTGTAAGTTCATACTTAACGTCAATTTCACACACGGAAACATGTAATGGATATAATCGTCAATACATGCACATCATTTTGGTCAATATTTCGTATTCATTAACATAAATACCCAGTGTGAACATTATTTGAGGAATTTCAACACATTTCACAACGATTTGTGTTCGAGAAAAACGTCACGTTGGAAATCGTAATCATCATATATCTACATGTTGTCAATGACAAAGTTTATTTTCATCGATGATGCCTTGGTTGACCTCAATAAAGCTTCAACTGTAGTGGCCTACTTTTGTCAACAGAACGCGATTGGTTCAATGAAAACAATTATTATTATAACCAATTATACCAGTGACAGTTTTACTGTGCTCGTTTGTTTAACTGTGCGAATAACAGCCATATTGGTCTTCCATTGTACTCCATTACTTCTACGCGGTTTGTGACTACGCACGTACCTTTCCTTGCCAATCGCATTCGTACTCCTTTGGCACGATTTCGGTATTCTTTCGATACCACGAGATTGCCAGCAAATATATTTCAACTACTACTATTATCTGCCTTCTGATATTGGTCTACGAGGATCTTTTTGGTTGATTGGCACGTAGTCTTGTAGCGGTGTTCATAGTCAAGCTCAACTCGACACCACGCTACAATTGGTGAGCCGAATCTGGGAACACGTCTTAACCTCGCTCAAATCTTCTACAACTAGTGAACCTACGAGCACTTGGCAATCGCAACCAAACCTTCCAAAGAAGTCAATCCGGTGAGTCTATTGTTTATCTATCCACGTCCGTCGTATATTTTCATATTAATTTTTAATATATTATACACTCGACATGACGAATAACGATAAGAATAGTATTAATATAATAGACTCCGATGTACGCGTACCGAATCCTCGGCACTTTTTATTCGCGTGACGATAAATTCCACGCCTTATTCGAGAAATTCCCCAGAATAACTAAACCACTCGAGGAGATTTCATCGGTAACCAATCGTGTGGTACACCACATAGTCACCCGCGGACCACCAGTCATGGCAAGACCACGCCGACTGGCACCGGACAAATTAGCTTTCGCTAAACGTGAGTTTGACAATTTACTATCTACTGGTATTATTCGTCTTTCTCACAGTCCTTGGGCCTCTCCTTTACACATGGTGCGCATAAAGGATGGGGTTAGTTGGACACCATGCGGCGACTACCGAGCTTTAAACGTAGTTACGCGCTCTGATAGTTACCCCATCCCCCACATACACGACATCACGGCATCGCTCAAGGGCACGACTATCTTTTCTAAAATCGATCTGGTACGAGCATATCACCAGATCCCAGTCGCTCTTGAAGACATCGAAAAAACTGCTATCACGACTCCTTTCGGTCTGTTTGAGTTCCTACGAATGCCATTTGGATTACGGAATGCTGCTCAAACTTTCCAAAGGTTTATCGATAGCATAGTACGAGACTTGGATTTTGTTCACGTCTATATTGATGACCTGCTGATCGCATCATCAAACGTAGATGAACATTATCAACATCTTACACTATTATTCTAACGCCTTTTGGATAATGAAATAGTAGTCAACCCAGACAAGTATGAATTGGGTAAACCAGAGATAATATTTCTGGGTCACATCATCAGACAAGAGGGTATTCTGCCTTGCGAGGACAAAGTTCGAGCAATCAAGGAGTACAACGTGCCGTTCTCAATCAAGGAACTGGAGGCTTTTCTCGGTTTGGTTAACTTCTACCGACGTTTCATCCCTTACGCGGCAGAACGGTTACGACCATTAACCGATTTACTACGCGGTAATCCACGCAGATTATAATTGAACGATACCGCACGTATTGCATTTTCAGAGATCAAAACGGCTCTCGCTGAAGTTACACTTCTCGCTCATCCTGACCCATCAGCCACGCTTAGTATAGCGGTTGATGCATCAGATTTCTCTATAGGAGCAGTTATGCAACAGAATATCTCCGGTAGTTGGCAACCGCTTGAATTTTTCTCACGACGCCTCACTCCCACGGAGACGAGATATAACGCTTTTGGTCGCGAAATGCTAGCAGCCTATTGTGCCATCAAACATTTCCGGCACTCAGTAGAAGGACGCCAATTCATTTTATTCACCGACCATAAGCCCTTAACGTATGCCCTGCATACCAAGTCTGACCGCTACTCACCACGAGAGTGTAGACATTTGGACTATATCTCCCAGTTCACGACAGACCTTCGTCACATTAAAGGCGAGTCGAACTATGTTGCCGATGCTCTGGCACGTATCCAGACGAAAGCAGTTAACTTGCCGTGCTCGATCTTCCTGCTATGGCCGCCGCACAAACAAACGACCCTGTCTGTACAGAAGCGCCACAATCTTCATCCCTTCAGTGCCAGGAAGTACCCCTAGCTACTAGCTCAGGTACTATCCTATGTGATACTTCTACCGGTCTTCCTCGACCCATCGTACCCTCTGCCTATCGCCGTCTCGTCTTCGATGCCCTTCATGGATTGTCTCATCCAGGTATCGCAGCCACATTACGCCTCATCGCTGCACGATACGTCTGGCCGTCCATGAATGAAGATGTTCGTATGTGGGTAAAGCAATGCTTACAGTGTCAACGATCAAAAGTGCACAGGCACGTAGCTGCTCCCATTGGCACGTTCGCTACGCCTGATGCTCGCTTTGATCACGTTCATATAGATATTGTAGGACCATTGCCACCATCGCATGGGTATGATCACATACTCACGTGCATTGACCGTTTTACAAGATGGCCCGAAGCTATTCCCATCACGTCTATCACGGCGGAGACAGTTGCTCACCGCTTCGTAGAACGATGGATAGCATTGTACGGTTGTGCCTCGACTGTCACGACTGACCGAGGACAACAATTCGAGTCCGCATTATTCTCCTCACTGACCCGGCTGCTTGGTACGGAACGCATACGCACTACCGCCTACCATCTAGCATCGAATGGTTTAGTTGAAAGGTTTCATCGACAACTTAAAAGTGCTCTTCGAGCACACGAAAACGGCAATTGGGACGAAACCCTACCGATCGTTCTTTTAGGCATCAGAACGAGTTTGAAGGCAGATATCCAATGTTCCGCCGCTGAACTTGTATACGGCACGACATTGCGTCTGCCTGGGGAATTCTTTACACCACGGAGCAGTAACAATTTCGGTAAATCAGACTACGTCCATCGACTGTCTGCATTTATGCGAACGCTGTCTCCGGTGTCAACTCGAATACAACATCGACAGGTCGCTCTCCCTCGAGAGTTATCTACCTGTTCACATGTTTTCATACGAGTAGATTCGGTACTCAAACCTTTGCAACAGACTTACGAAGGCCCTTTTCACGTGATCTCTCGTCACGAAAAGACCTTCAAGGTTTATCGACATGGCCGCGTCGAGATCGTCAGCATGGATCGTCTCAAACCCGATAACTTGAGACTTAATGCTAGACCTACCAAACCTTCTAGCGGGATCTCTACGTCTACTTCGGATCCCACGCTAGATACATCAGAGACCTCACGTCCCGGTCAACAGCACGCGTCATCTGAACCATCTACGGACGGGGCTTCCGTCTCACGTCCAGATCAACAGACCACGCCGCCCCTGACCTCGGATGAGATCGCAGGCTCACGAAGTACGAACGAGACTACCGTCTCACCTTCTGGTCGCCGAGTACGCTAACCCATACGTTTTCGCGACTAACCGCACAGTCAACATTGGAAACGGTGTAGGACAATTCCTATACTACACGCATGCAACACGTTTCTTTTTTTGATTTTTTTTGTATCCCGAGCCCACGCCTCCGACCACCTCCCATTTGGTAACGTCGACTTCA